ACTTGCTCATCAGTCAATTAATGGAGTGTATTTGATGAGCAGCACATGGCTACTTCTTACCTTCCTATGAAAGCAGTAACCATAGACTCTGTCACAGGACTGTGAAAACCTTCTTTTTCACGTGACTGTATAATATATTAAAAAAGCACACTCGTGACAGAGACACTGGAACTGTAGGGAAATTATCCTGTAATTACTACTTATGTCCATGTGGGCAGCTTTTCAGCAAAAATTACTATAATTTTACAATTACATTCTATTGTTTTACTAAGATGTAATAACGGATTAAATTGCTGCATCTATATAAATGTAATTTTCATAGAAACATTATTTAATATAATTTTAATGAATGGGTCAGGTACTTAGAAATCTACGCCAACAGAACAAAAATACGGGTAGCTGTTTTGTAAATAACGACTTGGACAAATACTAGAAAATCAAACACAAAAGTATATATACATGCAAATATTATTAAAATCATATGTTATAAAGATGATGTTTTTTATATTTAAAGGATATGTTAAAAACTAATAATAAAAACTGATTATGACGCATTTGTGTTGCAGAGAATAAGCGTCTACTCTCTCACGAAAGCAACACTTGTTAGGTTCCTTCCCCGGTATACTTGTATAACTCTGTGGGATCACTGCCTGTCACCCAATCTCTCCATCTCTTTCTCCCTCTTGTTCTGCCTCTCTTGTAGCCAATTCTAATTGCCAGAGATAGTGATATCATGCCAGTGACAGCCCCTGTCCGAGGATAATTGTAACCGCAGCTCCCATTTCAAACTTCATTACATTTCAAAGCAACATTTGTCAATGACTCGGCCAGAGGGAGTACTCTGAAGGCCTCTCAGCGAGACAACAAAAAAGCTGTTAGGAACAGAGAGAGGGAGAGGGAAAGAGGGAAATAGAGGACAGACTCCATATTTGGTGTGATTCCAAGTGGAGAGACTATCAATCCTCCACCCATCATTTTTTTTTTTTTTTTTTAAGAGATGTGGGGATAGAGTGAAGGAGATTTAGAATCACAATGTGTCACACATCGCCGGGGTAATTTCATTAAGCTGCAGTCTTAGGGGGTTTAATGTGGACCCTTTGTATGGGGATCCTAAGCTGTGCCTGACAGGATTAGGTCCCCATAATGACTCTTTAATTTGCAAACTAATTCAAGTCTGTAATTGCCCTTCCATTGAAACCACTGGAGCTCTAAATTCTAAAACTCTCTTTTTTATGATTATTGTTCAACTGAATGTCATGCATGCCGTACAGGGACTTGTATGGCGTGTGAGGCGAGGCTCGGGCAACAGGGATGGTATCGTTTAGGAAAGGAAATCAAAAAAGGAAAAGAAAAGATAATAAAAGTGAGGTGTGACAAAAGTAAGAAGGAAAGAAAGCAAAACAGAAAGAAAAGGTATTGAGCACCTGGACACCTTTTGAGATCACCTCTGGTGCAATAAACTCTGGCTCATCGGGTTCAAACTCACACACGCTTGCACACAGAGAGCTCATCTCTGTGATTCTTCCGCTTTGAGGTTAGACATAAAATGACCCAGTGGTGCTACAGCGTGGTACATTTAATCCTCAATCTCCTCTCCAGCCTGAGCACCCTCTTTGGTTTATGACCACTGCTGCACCAGGCTAAATGAAAAGCCACTCTATGAGACCGATTCTCTGTCCGTCTGCTAAATCAAGGGGAATGGAAAATTCTCTGTTGCATCAAAGATTCACTGGTGTAGTCATACTTTTAACAACACCAATCTCTCCTGATATACTCGCTGTTCTTTTTTCTGTTCACCCGTAAATTTCTTGACTTTTAAAACAAAAAAAAAAGTTTATATTGTAATTGTATCAATTGTTTTTATCCATCTATAATTTATTACCTGGTTTCGAGCCTTCATCCACAGAGCCATTGTAGACCTGGTTTTTGAACTCGGGTCTGTTGTCATTCATATCGATGACAAAGATGTACAGATCGATAGGGTTCTCAACCTGGTTGCCGTTCATGTCCACAGCATGGGCTCGCAGCTAGGAAGGAAACAGAAAAAACATGTTCAGATTATAGATAATGATTATAGATAAACATATGCTACTCATGGTCATACACACCTAATATGCCTCAGTCTTCTCACATTGTACACATCTATTTAGAATGCCAATTTTGCCACCTCGACCTCCAGCATCTCGGTGTCGCCGCTGCCCTGTTTCACAGCCTGCTGTTTCAACCCACTTGTAGAACTGGGGCATATTGAATTTTCATGCTCATCTTTAAAATATAGTATATTTTGTGGGAGTGATGAACTCAGACTGCGCTCCTGCATGAACTGTTATTATGGGAGGATAAACAAATGATAAATCATTTAGCATTTAGAATCAGGCTTTGATGAGCGCTTCTTTTACTAATACGGAGAAAAATAATGGGTGAAACATTTAGCCAATCATTTTACGTTTCCGAGGATAGTAGGCGGGTCCAGGTACGTACGTTCTTTTAGAGCAGAGCTACAGATTAAAAATGCCCAAGGCG